TGCGCAGCTACTTATTGGTAATATATACGATCTAAGAGACTTCTAGAACCCGTTGCACCAATTTTAAAACTTCTATAGACTGGTATCTTGTGAGCATACTGAAACATGTTCAAATTCAGATTTACTTGTGATTTACCAAGGTTAGGTGATGTGTGGATTTAATTGATATGCAGTACTTTTCAAAAACCTAAGTTAAAGATATTATAAATGCAAGTATGTATGTATTTCAAACATTTACTTTCTACTATACTAGATATCTGCGCGACGTCATCGCGCAAAACCGGGAACGGGTCAAATTCTTTCGCTACAAACTTTATATCAGTTAATCATCTGATAAAAAGAAATAAAAATGTCCAAAGTTCAGAAAATAATCCATGTCTATTTTAAAATTCCTTCGTTAAATTTATTAAATTTATTTATATCGCAATATCATATATAAAACGAAATATAGAATATGAGCTAATTCATTGTGATCTAATACAAATAGTTCAAAGACTAAAAGATATTAAGTTTTATCAACATATTTGGCTTTTCCTTTTTTATTGGGTTTTCTTTGATTTGATCCAGTATTCTCTTTAATCGGATCAGGTTTTTTAACTCGTGTTTTCTATAAAAGAAAAATTATAGCGGTTAATTGCATCATTTAAAATAGCTGACTATACGAATATTAGTAACGAGAATAAATGCTGGTTTACCTCTATAGTTAACTTAGTATATTGATATGTTTCAAAAGTATGCGAAACCAGTAATGATGAAGGAAATTTATTCTTAATAACATTTCTATCTGCCCAATCGGGCCAACATTCCAATCCTTCATCTTCAACCATATAATCCGCCAGACTAACGGATTCATTTATATTTTCACTTGTCGTCAAATATCTTACGATAAATCTTTTTAGTGCAGTAGCAAAAACTCCAGCTGGAATACTTGACTTGAAATCATTTGCTTGTTCTTGTTTTGATGATTCAAACCCGATTGCTTTTGAAATCTCTCGTTTTAATGAATCATCAAGTTTGGCTTTATATTTGTGATGAATGCAAGTAGCAACTACATCAGCAACATGTTCTTCTACCAATTCATATAATGCTACTATATGTTTAAGTTGTAAACCAGCTCTTGACAATAATCTATAGCTACTATTACTTTCTTTTAACACAGTTAATTTCATCCAATTTTCTATATAATCGGTGATTAATGTATTACCATCACCTCCTGAGGTGCGTTTAAGGAAGCAAAGTATCATTTCCAAAGTTGAGAGCAAATCTTTTGGATTTTCAAATGCAAATGTTGCCGCAAAAGCACTACTTTCTCCATAACCTCCTTTAACAAATGGCTTATTAATTGATGAATAAGTTCCTAAAAATAATGTTTTTTTATCATCAGGGATCGGTTCCTGATCTACTAATTCTTTAATTTCGCTCAATATTGTCATAGATCCTTGGAATATTTCCTTGTGATATACAAATGTTTCTAAGTAAGATTTTTGTTCATTAGGAACAATAAACGCTTTATCATGAACTAATTCAAAACCTAGTTCTGCTTCAATTTTACTTAAATCATATTGAATTTCACGTCCATGGCCAATTCTCAGATCAAACTGACTATGTCCGAAAATATTTGAGTCATACTCATATGATACTATATGTACTGGCCTCACGTTCTCGAGAGAAACGGATTGCAATTGGTACATAGGAGGAATTGTGTGTTTTCCATTTTTATTAGTTTGAATCATTGTTTGTTCAAGGAATTTTAGAGATTGGCATGTTCCTGAAGGAATTTCAATGACTTCTTTAAGGAAATCATTTTGTAATTGGACTAAGAAATCTATGGCTCCACATAAGAACAAGCCTTCATTAGCTTCTTCATAAAATCCTAAAACGACATGCCTATCTTCATTCATTTCTGGCATTTCATATGGTAGTTCTAAACACTGATATCTTTTGACATGTGGGATCAATTTATTCCAGGATTTCGCAAAAAGTTTGAATGCATTTTTTAATGATCTACTTGTTTCACCTGTGTCATCATTTACACTTTCATCATTCATAAACTTTCTGAATGTTAATGATCTTGCATTTTGTCTTTCGATTCGATATGAAAGACTGGTATGC